ATAAATTTGCTTTCCAATATTTTACTATCAGCATGCAAATAAACAGGCATGTAAATGTGTGCATGCACAGATATCATGCACAGAGAGATAGTGATATCTAAACCTACATTCTATATCTGTCTATCTATCTATCTATCTATCTATCTATCTATCTATCTATCTATCTATCTATCTATCTATTTATCATCTATCTATCAGTCAGATGATTAACCTATCTATTGAGAAGTCAGTGATACCCAAGTCTCATTTTTTTAGAATTTAAGAATATCTCAAACTGCAAGGAATTGATTACCTTTATCAACCCTTACTTTATAGATGAACAATAACAAACAGAGAAACCAGAAGATTAAGGAACTATTTCTTGCGCTATGTGTGTATACACACACACACACACACACACACACACACACACACGCACGCACACACACACAACTCAGGTTTTGATACCCATTTTCTTGGAAAGTTAAAAATTTCTTAAGTTTTTATTCCTGGTACCACTACCATCTCTTAAGTTTCCTCCATGACCCATAAAGATCCACTTCCATGACATCTCTGTGATCCAGCAGACTGCATCTATTGTTTAGAAAGGGCTTTTTTCACTTCACAATTATACCCATTAATAGTGTGGTATTTCCAAACAACAATTTTATCAACTGTGTCATGATCATCAAAAGTTACAAAAGCGAATCCTCTTTTTTCCACTCTGGCTGTCTTCTATAACTTCTATGGTTTCAATCTTGCCATACTTTTCAAAGTAGTCTCTTAGATTATATTCTTCTGTATCTTCTTTAATACCACCAACAAAAATTTTCGTCACTGTAAAATGGGCACCAGGCTTTCCAGAATCCTCTCTATAAAACAGTTCTCTTTTGTTCCATCCACCACATGCCTATCAACCTTGTGTGTCCAAGCATGCATTGCAACACCCACCTCTTCAACACTAGGTTAGGTCATAAAACCAAAGCCCCTGGAACATTTTATTAGGGATCTCTCATTACCACACAGTCTGTAAGTGTGCATCCTTTTTCAAAATGTTCTCTTAAGCTATCATCTGTGGATTCAAGCTCAGACCACCAATAAACAGCTTCCTCAACTGTTCTGGTTCCTTTGGATCATGACCCTCCTCCACAAGGTGGCGGCAATGGCCCGAGTGAGGCAGGGGGCACATTTTGACATGTATTAATGTAATGAAGGTTATTCATGAAATAAAATTAGTTAAATTATGAGATTCAATCCAATCTTTGTACCTAGATACCAATGCTTCCTTTTGATAAGTCACAATCTGTGAGAAAGGATTCTGATAACAACCACGTGTTGTTTGGCTTCAGATATTTGAGGATACTTTTCATTCTAAGCAGACTAACTTCTTTCTTATTTATAGAAGAATGCAAGTTACATAAACAGAACAGATCATCAACCATTTTTTTTAAACTTTTATTCTTCTCTCATATATTACAGCTCCTCTCCTATGCCTCCCACTTCACCCATCTCTTCCCTCTGGCCCGGATCAACTCCTCTGTTTCCTTTTAATAAAAGAACAGGCCTCCCAGAGTTATCCACCAAGCATGAACTAACAAGATGCAATAAGACTTGGCACATACCCTCATATCACGGCTGGTTGTGGCCACACAGTAGAGGAAAGGGATCCCAAGCAGAGGCAAAAGAGTTGGAGACACCCTCTACAACTTAGAGTGAAAGATAATGCGTGGTCTAAATGTCATGGCACTGGTACTGGTACCAAAACTCAAAGAAACCTGATTGTTAACAAAGAGCTGTGGATGTGTTTTTCCAACAGCTCTTTGATCGCTTTGGTAATTTTTCAATAGTTTATGTTGCAACTGATCATCCAAATAAACTTTACTTCTGGTTCTTCCCATCCATTTTGTTTTAAAGGCTTAAATCTGAACTTCTTTTTATGACTCTAGGCCCACTAAAAGAGAACTAGAAGAGAGTGTTTCTAATTATTTTTTCCAGTCACCCATCTGATGCCACTAAACTCTCAAATGAAAGATCAACTGGAACCATCTAAGGAAGCCCACTTTCTTGGTTTGCAGAGATTGCTCTATGACAAGTTATTTACACTGCAGAGATTGCCTTGTTCATCATGAATTTGATTGACATCTGCCTCCACAGTCCTGCTCTCCTTCTCAGTTCTCATAGAAGCCATTTTACTTAATCATTTGCACACAAAGCTTTACTTCAAGTGCATCTTTTAGTCAAATAATTACTAATGACTAATATTAAAACTACTTATGATCCATGCATGTCTATTCATACATATGTATATTTACTACAATCCTTTCTGTTTTATCCATCTGTCCAATCTGTCTAAGTTTCTCTGTCATTTTATCAATAACAAAAATTCATCTTATATATCATCTTATATAGCTCACTTACATATATAATTGCACGCAAGTACACACACATGGGGGAATGCTTATGCTTCTCTATGTGTGGGTTTACTAAGTGGTATTTGTGCTACCACTGATGAAAAAAATGTAATTTTAGTGAATTCTACTGTAAGCTTTCCAAGTTAGTGTTTATAAAATTATTTTCTCAAGAGGAAAAACTGTATTATAAATACAGGTATGTAAAATGTAATTTTAGAATGTGAAGTCATAATAGAGAAAAATGTAATACTGTCACTCATTTTGTGCTTTATTTGCAAGGTTGTGACATTTTAACATCGTCAATGGTTTGGTTGCATATTTGTATGTATGGAAAGAGTAGCATTTTATTTGTTTATGCCCATCTCCTCTGCTCTTGTTCTGGTATTCTGCATTGTACTATAGTTTTTTTTTTAATACTTATTTGGCATTTTTACCTTTAGGTCTGCTCATAATTAATATTTACAACCACCAGAAAGTTGGTACATTTATTACCATTTTAGCAAATGTGACTTTAAAATAAAGAAAAGAGGTGTATTGATATTTTTCCTAGCCAGAAGCATAATAAGAGACATAATCAGAATATAACTTAGAAATCTTTGGCTCCAACTGCATATTTAATCTATTATCAATGCAGTCTGAGCCAATAGCATATTTTATAAAACAAACACTTTTTTAAAAAGATTATCTTTCCCAACTTCAAAGTAAAACTTAGTAAGGCACATTAAAAGTCAATATAAATATCATGTTAATTTCTACAATTTAGAATCAGTAGTTTTCAGATCATTTAATTAGATGAATATGCTTCTTTGTTTTACTGATTATGCCTTTTGTTCATTTGAAACATTTCAGGTTATATCCAACCTAAAATCTGTAAAGGCAAATGACCTTAAAATGAGCCAGTGATTTTTCTGTGTGTAGAATATAACACAGAATACTTTCCTGAAACAGAAATGTTTCAGATTTGAAAAGTTTATTGTATATATGCATGCATGTTGCTTTTTGCATAGGCAGGCATTGTAGGTACATGAATTTATGTTTTAACTACTGGGACACACACACACACACACACACACACACACACACACACACACACACACACACACACACCTTTGTGCATGCTGCAGGTTGGACCATTTGCAAAGCTAGCCCATAGATATGAAGTGTCTTTTCCTTGATTCAGACTACATTTGCTCAGCAGAAGAATGGGTTCCATTTCTCCTTCTACCCTATATTTCTTTTGGGAAGACTTGAAAGGGTTTATGATTTGCCCCCTCAGAAACAGAAAATGACAGCCCACAATATACTGCTTTGTGGTTCCAGTGGACAACACTGGAGGGTCAGCAAATGCAGGGAAATCCTTTATCTCCCAAAGACCAGAGCTCCAATGCATGTAATGAGCTTCCTTTAACCAGGGAAGACCAATTGTTTATCATGGAAGATGATATTGAAAAGGTGAACATGTAAAGCCCAGAGGAACCCTGACGGAAGTCATTGTCTCTTCTTTGGATCCAAGAAAATCCATTTTCTATTTTTCTTGAATCACCTATATCTACTGTTTCCCTTCCTGTTATGAATTAAGAGCTTACATTACAACCATTAGGGTGGTCTTTGAGTTTTATACATCCTGTGTCTCTTATGCAAAGATGTACACTGATAATTATGTATGCCTTTAATCCTGAAAAATCTATGGTCAGTTATTTCAGCAGATCAAATGCAAACAAGAGTAGACAAGTTTAAACATCTCTTTGTTTCTGATAAATTCTAGAAGTCTAAATCATATTTTCCTGTAGTAAACCCAGGCTAATATATGCAAATTTTACCTTAACTAAAACAATAATCCTGTCTTCAATAATATTTTCAAAGTAGTATAATACCAGTGCAAGGAATGTATCAGAAATGACCATGCAATAGCTATGCCAAAATGTCATAATGGTAAATAATTGGGAGAAGGGATAGCACAAAGAAGAATTACAAAATTTAATGAAGTAAATGATGTTTATGATTTGGGAAACCATAATAAATGAGAATAATTCAAAATTACAAAGTAGTATTTAGATTGATTTTTAAGTAAAGTTGGTCTTGCTAGCTTTTTTTTTACAAAATTAAACAGCTGACCTGAACATAAAGACAACATTTAACTCATTTATTCTTTAAATCTCTCCTTCCAAATTATGGGGGACTGTGACATTAAACTCATTGGCAAAATATTTGCCCTGCCCATTCACTTATGCCATAGGAATTCAGTCTTGCTGTTCCTTCTCGGCAGGATTTTACATAATGTAGAACACAGAAACTGTAATTTGAAGATGTTATCAATTATCGCTATATTATAAACCTCCCTAGAGTAGGCCCTGAAAAACAAGAGCATCTGGTACTTTCTACTTTAATGTGGCATAAAACAAGATAAACTAATGAAGAAATTATGAGCACAATGGGATGTTAGAGAGGAGTCGAAGATACCGTGATTATGGAGTTAGGCCAAAAAAAAAAAAAACCAAACAAACAAACAAACAGATTTTAATCTAAACTACAATAACAATATATAATGTAATCGCATATGCGTATATGTATGTCAATTCAGAGTTTTAGGAAGTGGTAAATGAGACCTACTTTTTCATAGTACTTGATCTCATAGTCCAGAACAGCTCCATTGGAAAAAGCAGGTGCTTGCCATGATAGGGCAAGGCTGTTTTGGGATGCCCAGTCCTTCCTCACCATACCTATCAGAGAAGGTGCTATAAGGAAAGGAAAAGAAATAATTGATTAGTAGGGATAATTTTAGGTCTGTGAATACATGCTATGTCTCTTCCAAAGAAAATACTTTACTTTGTGTAGAGGATACCATTTGCCAATGCCAAATTAATAAAATAGGCTCAGAGTCTATTCTACTCAAGTCAAATAAAGGGTTCATTTACTTAGAAACACCATTAAGAAATAGAGGAAACACTCAGATATTTCAAGAAGAAAGCCAGAGCTCATTTGCCTCTGTTTTTGTCAAGGAGGATGTTTTTCCTCAAATTTGGTTGGGTTTTGGGTTTTAACCAGGAAGCTAGTGTGCTTGTCTCCTGCGTTTCATATAATCTAGGTAACAAGCTGTGTGATTACAAGAGCTTGTGGAAGCTTTTCTTCTTAAGAGATCTGAGTTAAAAGAAACACAGTGCCAAAATACTGAGTGTTAATTTTTACGACATAACTTCCCAGAGGAGTTATTGAAAGTGACTTTAAAAGGAAACGGTTCAATTTAAGAAGTCACAAGGAAAGACCCACAGACATTATTTCACTAATGAGTTTGTTGGCATTCTATTCAGATATAATTGTGTACGTGGAAGTAGAGTGAAACAATAATTCTATTGCTAGTGCTGAGAAGTAGGACACCACAAAGTCCATGGGAAAAGGGAGGTATGAGATCAATGAAGGTAAATAAAAATTCAAATCAAAATGATCCTTAGGAAATTGTGTCACTCTCCCATCTCATTCTCAGAAATTTATTTAATGTGTTAATAATAGGTGATACAAGATTTAAAATTTTACTCATTGCGATATTTTAAACTTCTTAGAAAAACTTGTTTTAATATTTTACTTCTAAAGGTTGTCTTTGAATCATAAGAAAAAGTCTGTTTTTTATTTTATGAGACTGACAGTTTGGGTTCAGAAGAAATAAAAACTAGAAAATACGTTTAAAATTATGGTTGTTAGGAGAAAATTAAGATTGGACTAAAATATGTTGGCAAAAATGACATGATTACAAAAATTACTATTTTTATATTAAATAAAGATAGTAATAGATAATGTAGGAAATAAGATAAGGCACTCAGGAATTATTCACTATTTAAACTAAGATACATTCACTAATAGTGATGATCCTCATGGGAAACTGTATTAATGTTCTTACATTATAGTTTATAATGTATCAGATGGTCATTTATATATAAATTCAAAGCAAATCATAAAATCTTGAACAATAGAGTTTTGAACATACTTTTCATGTATACATGAATTAATCTATGGTCAATTTTCAGCATAATATAGTGTCATGATGCAGTTAATACTGCAGTATATTACATGTTGCTCTTCAGACCAACCATATAATGGTGGTAAAACATAAACTTTCAATTGCGGTAACAACACAATGGAAGGACTGCTGAGTAAAATACATGTACCATTTTTCTACTCTAACTTTTCAGTTACAAATTAGTGGTACATTACTTTAATTTTTAAAGTCTCATGTCACACTTCTATAAAGCAAACATTCCAAAATTCCTTAATTACATAAATGTATCACTTTGAAGTCCATTTTATGGCTTGGAGGATGGCTCAGCTGATAGAGTACTTGCCTTATAAGCACAAAGGACTCCGTTTGATTCCCAGAACCATATTGTTTTAAGAAAGAGCCAGGTAAAATGGTGTAAGTTTTAACCCCACTGCTGGGCATGTAGAGACAGGGGGATGCTGAAGCTCACTAGCCAATCAGCCTAGATGGGAAGCAGTGGACCTATAGGATCTATAGGAGATGCTGTCTCTAAGGAGATGGACAGCTGTTCTGATCATGGCACCCAAGGTTGTTTTCTGGCCTCTGCATTTGTCTGTAATAATTACTAAATACTTAATTATGTTGGTATTTATCAATATTTTTCTTTCTTTCTTTCTCTCTCTTTCTCTCTTTCTTTCTCTCTTTCTTTCTTTCTTTCTTTCTTTCTTTCTCTCTTTCTCTCTTTCTCTCTTTCTCTCTCTCTCTCTCTCTCTCTCTCTCTCTCTCTTTTTCTTTTTTTTGAGACAGGGTTTCTCTGTATAGCTTTGGTGCATTTCCAGGAACTCACTTTGCATTGTAGGTTGGCCCCAACTAACAGAGATCCACTTGCTTCTGCCTCCCACATGCTGTGATTAAAGGCATGTGCCATGACTGCCCAGCTATATTTATCAATTTTTTTCAATGTTGGGCATGCAAATTTCTAGTACCATGCTCTCAGAACACTCATATTTATGAAAATCATTTTGACATCATAAATTTCCTATTATGTGGGATTCTCACTTTTTTTCCTCATAGACTTTGTGTGGGTGTCCTCAAGTGATCTTACCACAGCCACCTGAGCAGCTGGAACTGCAGGTGCAGCTCCAGGATCCTGCTGGTTAATTTCTTTCATTGAGAAAAATTGCTTCACATGATTTGAACTTTCTGAACCATGTTGTGAATTAACATACTGCCTTTGAAAATAGCTGCATCCATACACCTTAGGTGCCCATTATAAACAGTTAATGAATTGAAGCAGAGATTGTGAGAAACTACTTGCAGCTTGCTACACCCCTAATGCTGCATTTTACGTTTTTACAAAAGTCAGCATTGTACCAAATTTTACTGTAAAACATAGCTGCAATATACAAAGCTTCAATCATTTGTTTTGAATATACTTAATGAATTTATTGTTGATGATCAAGGTTTTATGACATCTTCAACTGGTAAGTAAAAGTGATAACAGTGTCTTAATTGTAATAGTAAACACAGAACAGAAATATATGCCATATATATTTCTACCCATCAAGAAAATTGATGTTATGATACAGAAGGATGTGGTGGTATTGTGTTCCCCAAAGTATTGTGCACCCTAATAAACTTATCTGGTGTCAGAGACAAAACAGCCACTAGATACAAAGGCTTGAAAATGGTGGCACTCACACTTTTTATCCTAGCATTCCAGAAGTAGAAATCCCTCTGGATCTCTGTGAGTTCAAGGCCACATTGGAAACATGCCTTTAATCCCAGAAAGTGAGCCTTTAATCCCAGGGAGTGGTGGTAGAAAGCAGAAAGGTATGTAAGACATGAGGACCAGGAACTAGAAGCATTTGGCTGGTTAAGCTTTCAGGTTTCTAACAGCAGTTCAGCTGAGAGACATTCTGGATGAAGACTCAGAGACCTCCAGTCTCAGGAAACAAGACCAGCTGAGGATCTGGCAAGGTGAGGTAGCTGTGGCTTGTTCTGGTTCTCTGATCTTCCAGTTCACCCCAATATCTGGCTCAGGTTTGATTTTATTAATAAGAACTTTTAAGATTCCTGCTACAGAAGGACAGATCTAAAAAAAATCAGATCTTGGAATGAGCAGGCAGAGAAATGTCTTCTGGAACTTGTCACACCAGAGACTGTGAGAGCCACCTGAAGACTCAGGTGGTGCCTCCTGAGAGAGAATTATGTCTTCAAGAAAGTTTTTTGGAGAATCTTATTTCTGGTATAATTCCTTACTTAAAACTTCCAACTATTGGAGCTTCAACCTTCAAAAAATGATTATTGAATGGATCACTGTTGCCACTCTAGTTGTTGGTGTGAATCTGGGAGAAGGGAGCCTAAAAATAAAGTGAACTAAAGTCTCATGCACTAACCAACTTTATTCAGAGCATCAGACAATTTGTACTCTGAGGGTTAAGAAGAATCACATGAATAAGGTGTTCAATCACAAGGAGAAGCCACACATGGCAAAAACATGTACATTTGTTTTTTCCATAGACATATGCATAGCAACAGCCAAAGTAAACTCACTCCTATCCACTATACCTGGGAGGAGCATGAAAATACACATCAGAACAATTCTATGTTCTTGAAGAAACTGAAGTCACAAGACTCTTGTTTTCTTGGAGTTTTCTCACAGGCACTCAGAATTCCCCTCACATGACTCCATTCTGGCACATGCTCTGACAGATTACCATGTTCTTGAAAGTGTTCTTAATACAAAACCTTCTGATAATTACATTTACAAAATATCAAACAGTTTATCAAGTACTATGTAACAATTTTGAAGAAAATTATATAGTAGAATTGGCTAACAAAGGAGCTTATTCACAAACACATGAACACTATTTGCTTCAGTTTATGCAGAGACAGTTAAATAAATATTTTAGGTCATATATTTGCCTGTAATTAGAAGTTCATAATTTTTTGCTGAGATAGTTACTTGTGACCATGTAAACTGTCTTATCCAGATCTCATTCCTTTATGGGATGCAGAATGCTTCCATCTTTAAGATAAGTGACTGAAGCTCAGAGGACTTTTGTAATTGTGTAAAGATATTTGAAGGTAAATTTCAGTATTAAATAAGATGTCAAGTATGAATTTATAAATTAACATTGTTTCTGTGTGTTCCTCTTAACATCCACTCTAATTTAGTGTAATATATTCAAAAGTAAAATCCATGTTCAAAACCACAAGCAAAAGGGTGAAAAAAAATCACAAATAAACTTATTGCCTTTCAATGTTACTTTACAAAAACTGTAACTCAAAACCACACTATGGATAATTACAAATATGTGTTGTACTAAGAATTTTATCAATATTTATGATATATCCAATGTTATAGTTTACATATATATATATTTGTGTGTTAACTCTAAAATATAGTTTTAATTTGAAGGAATGATTTTTTTTTAATTATAGTGAATATTGTTAATTCCCATTCATCTAATTATCATACTGCTGATACTGCCAATATTTATTTGGATGCGTATATGCATGCTTGCTTGTATGTGTTGTATGTGTTTATATGTGTATAAGTATATGTGAGTGTTGTTTGTGTGCTTGAATGTATAAATGGGTATGCATATATATGGGTGTGCATGTGTATAATAGGTGAATGTTTAGATAAGAAAAAGAGAGATCGGCACATTCTCATATATGTTTGTGACAATGTGAATTCTAAATTTTTGAATAGATTTTATATGTTATTTAAAATTTTTTATTAATGTAGGAAGTATG